CCTGAGTAGAGAATAAGATTTTAAAATATATTATTTTTCTAGGCACAGTCAAAGTTATGTCTCATTTACTATTGCTAATTATCAGTACCTGGACTAGTGTGTATTCACAGTTTCCATTGAAGCTGAACCTTTTGTCATCAAAGGTATTATAATGACCATCTCCATAAACAGCACAAGTGCCCAGACATTGATCTTCAGTGCATTCCCACTTCCTATTCTTGCATATACTGGGAATGAGAATAAAACATTTTAATAGTAAAACAATTCACTGTTTTGTGTAGACATATCCTAACAACTCAGTATTTTTTTGGCAACTCATCCCTGGTAAATGTTACATTGATTCTGGAGTTAAAATAGTCTTTTACATTTTTCATGTAAAGAATTAAAGCAAAGTTCTGTTCTGCTACTCTGAATGTATTAACTGCAAAATAGGATAATACTTAATGAACACTGTAGTCCCAAAGATTTCCTCCCATTGTGTGCTTTGGCCATCTGCCTACATCAGAAGGAAACCTGCTCATGCTTTTTAATCCAAAACTAAAAGAGCCATCAATTGATGAAATGTGCAATCCAAATCTTTCCTCACTGCTCTACTATTTAAGATCTTTGGAAAGGCAAATGATGGAACCAGGAATGCTACTTCCAAGGAAATATTTACCAGGTGTTACAGTCAACACTGATCTTCTCCCCAGGCTGATACATGGCTTCATTGTGAATACATGGACATTCCTCTTCAGAAATACAAACACCATTCCTGTCTAACACAAGCCCAGCTGGGCACATGCAGCCAGATATACATTGTGTGCTATACTGGAAAAGTCAAGAGGAAGATATAATTTCAGAATGAAATAATCACAACAGAAAAAGGAAGATTAAATTCCCATAAAATGTCTTTATATGGTCTTATTGATGCTCAGCCTAAATGGGAGAGGACTACAAAGTACTTATAGGACAATGGAACAAAAAGGAAGTTATTAGCCATTGACTTAATAGAATATATATTTCTGGTAAAGATAAATGTTTTATGTATGCCAATCCTGATCACTCTGCTGGAGTCTAGTGAAATTTGAAATACATCAGTCTTAAGTCTTGATCTGTGTTAGCTGAAGAAGCCTTGTACCCTGTAGTGGGTGATTTGTGATTGAATGGAGATTTAAAAAGAAAATATTTTTTTCGGTTTGGTTACGTTACATTAAAATCTGTTTATCTCATATGGTACTTATTAATGAAATGGCATGTGGCTACCATGCACTTACGTGGAGTAATATAATTAGATGCAAGAAGTTCACAATTGCATCATGGTATTAGAAAGAATGATTTCTCCTAGCCAGTTTATAGCCAGTAATTTTCTCATAAAGAAGTGAAATGTGTGTCAGAGCCCTAGATATTTTCACTACTAATTACTGTCACCTTCAGTAGCTGAAGAAAGGTAGACACTAATCTTATGAATGAAACTCTATGTTACGTTATTATATTTTGGTCTGAGTGTGCCATTGTTAATGCTTCATAACATGGTTTTAGGTTTTTGCTACAAGAACAAATTATCTGTGTTGTAGATTTGGAGTAGATCAGACAGATCAATTACTTCAGCACCAAAGGCACAGACAAAACCTGAAAGGACTCTTTCATCCAGCCATGACATACTTACACACTGCATATCCAGAGTCTGGCAACTTTTTTGACATTCTGCTCCAGTTGTTCCTGCAGCTATGTTTCTACAGTCGAAGTAGACCATGGGAGATTCACAGACTAGAAGTGAGAGCAGTAAGAAATGGCACAGGGTTTATCCCTTGGTTGTAGCCATTAAAACCATCTAGAAATTCTTTGGAAATTGTGTATTTCAGTTAGTAGGTATTGCTGTCCCTGTTTAGCAGATTGAATAAGTAACCAACTTCAGAGCACTGAATTCCCAGAAAAAAAAAGCCACAGTATTTCAGAAAAAAATCCTTACAAAAAAGAGTATTTATCATTAATCTAGGTTCACTCCTGCCTTTTATGATAACTGTTGCACTATAACTAAATGATAAATACTTCTATTATTTAAAAATCCATTAAGAAAGATCAATTCTATCACTTCTTTCTGGCCAAAACCTAGCACAGAGAAAAAGAGGAATATTATTTTTTTACCCGGAGTGGGATTGGGTGCTCCAATGCAATTCAGTCTACTCTGGATGCAAGTACTGTAAGAGAGGCAAAATTTTTTTTTTTAACATACTTTTCTTCTCAAACCATGTACTGAAATTCTCAGGGAAGAATTTCCCTCAATACCACTGCCAGCACTGCTTTCATATGATATCCATTATTGCTTAACAGGAAAAATCATAGGTTGAAATTAGTATATGTCTCTGCTTGTTACTTGCTTTCTCATAAGATCTTGCCTTGCCTTCTTGGCCACCTGGGCACACTTCTGGCTCATGTTC